CTACATCCTTTAAATTTACATTTTAAAAAACAATATTTTTCTAGAACTGCTTTTCGTGTTTAGTTTCTTGTTCTCATTGGGTAACCTCACAGCGAGCAGTGACATCGCGTCACAGCGGGCAAAACAGTCACTGGCAGCTGACGTCAAAAAATACTTGTCAAGTCACTTCAATTGCAGTCACGAAAGCTTTAAATCGAAATTTAAAACAATGCAATTTATGTAATCCCTCATACCTCCACAGCAAGTCTGGAGGCGCTGAAAATGGTTTTGAAATTTAAACCCCCCACTCGTGGGTCACAGATACATCCAAAAACATATCCCAGTGAGCATCAACAACACAGGATACACGGCTGAGAGATAACTCACTCAAGACAGTGGTACCACAGGACTTGTGCTCTAAAGGTAATTCTAAAAACACTGTCGTTAAATACTTGGGCGATGCTGCTGCTGCGTTGGCAGTGGTGCACAAGGGCATTTGACAAAAAATAAACTGAACACATTAATCAAAAACTGTGGCCTAAAATAAAAAATATCGGCGACGGTTTGGTCAAATGACCATTATTAATTTAAATCCTATTAAGAAGGATCATTGCCGAAAACGTTGCCTGCTATATATATGAAGGCAGCTGTTATTGACCAGAAGAGCGCACAAGCGTGATCACCACATCTACGCCTCTATTTCAGGAACAAAACAGGTGGACTTCTCCACAAATCTGGCTATCGCCTGATGAAGCTAGTTGTAATTACTGGCGAAACGTCGTACTCAGTTTGTAAACGTTGTGGCTTGGCTCTTCAACACACTGGTGTGCTGTATTAGTGTAGTGACGAATTGGCATGTTCTGTTTACGTGACAACCCATACTAGTTGGCTGTGTAGGTGGTGGCGGATTTTAATGACACATTTATATATTTAAGCGATCTAACCCAAAAAAAAACCTCTTATCGATGATATTGGTAGTGGAAGCCTGTGTTAAACCAATGTGGAGTTTTTTTTTAAACACTGTAATAGATTTTCGAATGATTTTTCAATTTAATTAACAGTGATTTTGTCAAACAAATGCTGGATAAATGCCTCCCCATGCTGTGTTAGTCATAGAAGTTGTTTAACCATACTTCACCATGTTGCTGGTCAGCATTACAAGTGGGTGAAATCATATACCCAGGACTGTTTCAGATATCACCACTGATGCTAGCTATGGCTATAAATTATACTCAGGTTGCGAGGTTCATGACGCACTGCGCCAACGACTGCCCCACCACTTTCCCTTTATCATTTTTAACTAACATTTAATAGAAAACAGAGCTAATAAAATGTAAACCTCGCAAGTCTTGGGCCCCCTCGCGACATTTGAACCTTATGGCAGTACCCCGGGGTACAATAGTAGCCCGGCTCTCGCATAATATCAGTGATGCAGTCATTTTTAGTCTGTTGATGGTCGGCGATGCGGCATTCGACTCATCTCGACGAGCTATACAAAATGCACTATTCAAAGTTGAAATTTTCGATAACGGATTTTTTATGCTAATGTTTGGCGTTTCGACATCGTGGAGTAGCAGTTATTTCGGATTGATTGGTACCCCAGTCGCGGAGTGAAGTACACCCTTGGAAAAAATAGTGTCCCAGAAATAACATATTTAATTGCCTAGGCCATTTTGTATTATTTGGTACCCCGAGGTACCGCCATAAGGATAATTTGTGAATATGCTCACGCCAAGTCTGAATGAATATTCACACAATGCTGACAGAATTGGACGAAAAGCAGTGTGCAGAGTCAGATACCTGGATGCCTGTCACTCGTGCATACAGGCACGAAGGAAATACTCGACGAACTTAAGAGTAGGTCACTTAGTTGAGCTCAAGATCAAGACGAGCAAAGCATGAGTCGTGTAGAAAAAGTTTGCTAACAATTGGCGATGTTCGTTGCGGGGCACAAAACACACGAGAACGTGGATATCAAGGATTATTTTTGAACGCATCAAAACGTAAACAAAAATAAGGTACTCGCACCATACTCACACTCACCCTCCCCTCCCCTGGCATCACAAATAAAAAAAGATGTTTATCGGCTTAACTCAGCTGATGCCCTGCCCAATCGCCCGCGACGCACCACGGCCTGCCGCATGCCCCCACCCCCGACCCCTTGGCTCCTCACCCTCCTAGTACCCTATATAAACACGTGTCTCTAAATAGCTCTCTTCATACGCTACAGTAATTTTGCAGGAGCAGTCACACCTGATGACGGATGCTTGTGTTGCTTCCGAAACGTCGTGATTTAATTTATTTTTATTTTATTTAGCTTTTTCACCGACGTGACTTTACCGAAAAAACCAACGAGTACAAACATAAGGTGGGCGATAACAGGTTGGAGTGCATTTTGTAAAACTGAACTTCATCCTTCAACAATCAGAGACCAATGCGCTTGAATAAGATCGTTTTCAATCAGTGAATACTAGCTGCGATGACACATGGTTAAAAAGCATGGCCATTGACAAAACACAAAGGAAACATGATGAAAAGTGCACAAATAAGCATTGAGAGGTGCATACTTGGAATGAGATCGAGAGGAACACGTGGATTGGAGAACATACACATATTAAAGACATAATTTTAACTGGAAAGAAAAGTAAATGGGCTTGGGCAGGGATGGAGGATAGCCTGTGATCTAGATGAACGATGGAGTGGCAGCCAAGGAATGGGACACGCTCGGGAGAAAACGAGCTCTCCTGTGCAAGTACAGTAGTACCCCGGAGATCGAACTTAATTCGTTCCAGAAGGCCATTCGAACACCGATTTGTTCGAACACCGAATTAATTTCCCCATAATAATTAATGTAAATGACATTAATTGGTTCCAGACACAAGAAAGCTCTCAGTGTAAAGCATTTTTACACGAAGTTTACAGTAATTACATATATAAAATCATACAAAAAAAACAAAAAACAATAATTCAATGAATAAATACGTGGAATAAATGAAATAAATGAACATTGAACTTCACTTTACCTGTAATAAGGAGAGTTGTTGGCTTGAGTGGAAGGTGGTGAGGAGGAGGAGGTAGTGGTGTTATTGTTTGGAAGGGGAGTCCCCTGTGTCTAAACAAGCGTCATGCATGCTGGACATACGCGTCTCAGCCGCGATTGCCCGTTCGACCTCCGAATTTCGTTCGGTTTCTGGGGCAAAAAATGTTCGGAAATATCGTTCGAACACCGATTTGTTCGAGTTCTGGTACGTTCGATCTCCGAGGTTCTACTGTACTGAGTAGTTTGCGACATCGCCATACTATGAGAAATGGAAATAGCTCAGAAAGGCCTTCATTCAGCAGTGGATTATTATTATAAGCCCATTCTTAGCCACAACATCTGATAAAATGTCATGGAGTCGTCTGTCGCGGTATCGTTTTGGTCGAACTTGATGAAGTTCAAGATTATTTCGTGAGGCTTTATCGGAGTGGGCTCATGAGCCACACCCAGCAGAGGGCCTCAGTGCAATTTCCATCTGATGCCAATTAGGACGATGATTGCACATTTGTGGAATGTTATTGTGTCTCGCAGCACGGAACCCAACGCGAATTGTGCAACGGTTGCAACTGTGACAGATATTGGCCATGGCGTAACACTGGAACATTGGAAATGTATTGTATTAATTTACAGCCAATCTTGTTAATAACCATTCTCTTGTTCCAATGCGTTCGGGTATTGTGCCTATGAGACGTCGAGGGTATACGTCCTGCTGACATAGTTTAAACATCGTATTGCAGGAAATGTAAAGATAATACAAATGTATATAAAATATATAAGACACGGCTAGTTGTTAATTCACTGTATGGCGAGGGTCTGGCTCACATTGTGTTGGTCAACCACCACAAAACTCAATCCTCTGACCTCTCTGCTCCTCTGATCTCTCCACTGGGCCCCAAAATAATCCTAGAGCAACTGCAAGGTTGCGCTTTTTCCATGTAAATGGATCAGTCTTGTCATGCCTCGTCTCAACCATGACATAATTACGAGCGGCGTGAGGTCGTATAGATTGGAACGTAACGTTATTACGGCTAATGAGATATTTCCGACGACAAGCATGTTAGAAAGCTACATCATCCATGCGTATGCATGCCCTTTATTTATAGTCTCATTTAGATTCCAAACACGAGTGGACCAGTGAGTGCACATACACTCTGCACACACCAGATGTCGCAGTACCAGAGCCAGACTAAGGCACGTTCAGCATAATTGGGCTTCGTAAAAAGTAAAAATATTTTACCAGGTACTGTAAGGCCCAATGAGCTAACTTTATTTTAGAAGCGACCTGGCCACAAATGGTCACTCAACAAAGTGGCTTATCATATAGAAATGTAGAGCAACAGCCAAAAACTTTTAATGCTAAATAAGGGTTGTCAAGGGCAGTGTTAGTATCTGATGCTCAAAGAGCCAGCCAAAATCACATTTAAGATTCACAGGGTGAAATCCCTGAGGCAGTATTATGAGATCCAATTTACGTGGTGTTTATGTGCTATAAAAAAGGCCCATTCCCCCGAAACGTCGACTATTACATATATATATTTAATTTGAAGCACCTGTCAACCCATACGGTTTACCCGTATTTTTGTACATTAAAATTTAGTTTTCAGGTCCATACGGCTGTTTCAATACGGGCAAAACCTGATTTTGTCCATTTGTTTGTGTTTCTCCCTTGTGATGGGACTTTGTAGGATGAACGTTGAGATGTATAATGGCACGGGGTGACCAATACGATCTGTAATAAGGAGTTGAACGTTCCGCGTCACGGGCTTGTTATTGACGAGCGCGGTGAGTTTCCAGCATTGTAGCGCTCGCATGGGACCCTCGCATTTCCCAGTATGGATAGGCGCAGCCGCAGCGCGAGCGCGCGTCCCATTGGCTAAGCCGCCTCGTCTCGGCCAATCACGAGGAAGCGAGCGGCGCGCCGCGCCTATGCGCTCTGGGGAATCCGAGCGCGCGGTTCAAAGCGCGCGTCCAACCGCGCGCTGCGTCGGCTGCGCAGTTTGGCGCAACGCGCCCGCGGGTTTCCCCTAAAATTGTTTTTATTTTCTCTTCGATTAAAACAACAACAGCGGTAAACAAGCGATAAGGAGCGCTAAAACAAAAAGCTACACGAGTCGCTAATTTTAACCCCGCCGGTCGTGATGATGAGGACAGTCGTCGGAGTGGCGTCTGAGGAGGCGGTGGCGATGTCGACGGTGGTGGTAGCCGCGGGCTGAGGGAATCCGCGGCAAGGCAGCGCCGCTAGGCAAGGCGGTAGGCTTCATGGCGGCCTACTACCGGGACTCGAGCCGTCGCTGCTGAAGTCTCGCTCTTCTCTATCGCTCCCGCTCACGCCGCCGCGCTCTCTCGCACGCTTCTCGCCGCTCTTCAAGCGATGGAAGGCGACGGCCACAGCGCGGAGAGCGGCCGCAGGGCGAAGGAGAGGCGACGGAAGGAGGCGACGCTGAAGCGACCGGCACCGATCGCGGGGGGGACCTCGGACCCCGCCGCGGAGAAGGGAGACGCGGGCACGGGGAGCAGCAGGGAGGAGGGCAGCGGGGACGGGGGTCGGGCAGCAGCAGGGGCAGCAGCAGGGGCAGCGGGCAAACACAGGACCAGCAGCACGAGCAGCAGTAGGAACACCCGGGGCGGCAGAAGGAAATCGTGGGACATCGGGGTCGGCGACAGGGTCAGTGACAGCAGCAGCAGCACCATCAGCAACAACCGGGGCAGAAGCAAGAGCAGGAGCGCATGAGGCAGCGGGGGTAGCAGTCGGTGCGGCGAAGCAGGAGGCGGCAGCAGGAGCTGCGAACATCTGACGCTGCGGCAGCAGCAGGGAAAGTTGGCACGGCATTGACGAAATCTAAAGCAGCAACTGCAGCTAAAGCTGGCGCAGAAGCAGGGATGCCTAAAGCACCGGCAGAAGCAGCAGCAGCAAACCCTAAATCATTAGCATTAACAGCTGTTGCAACAGCAGCAGCTGTATCGTCGTCAATGGCAGCAGTACAAGCTGCCGTTACAGCAGCAACTGCATCAACGACGACGACATCGTCAACACAAACAGGAGTAACATCAGAATCGGCAGCATCTACACCTTTACCAGCAGCAAAAGCAACACCATATGAATCTGCATCTTCAGCATCATCATCTTCATCGTCGGATAGTGATGGTGGTGGAGGTCAAAGTAATACTGTTCGTGTTGTATCTGATGGTGATGGAAGAGCTTCTGGGGGTGGTGATGGTGGTGGAGGACCAGGGGGTGGTGGTGGTGGTGGAGGAGCTACTGCTCTTGGAGTTGTTGGAGATGGTGGTGGAAGACCAGGTATTGGTGGGGGTCGTGGCAGAGCCGCTGGTGTTGGAGGTGACGGTAAAAGTGGTGGAGGACACGGCGGTGGAGGCGCTGGTGGCGATGCTGCTGCTGCTGCTGGTGGCAGACGAGATGACGAGGCCAAGGCGAGGAGCGTGGCGCAGCCTGGCACCCAGCGCTCGTTCGCGCCCGTGGGGAGAGTTCGCAGCGAGGAGAGCGATGAGGCGTCCAAGGCAAAGGTAATTATTGGGAGCAGGGCCATAGACGAGAGTAGGGAACCCGGAGAGCCGTGCCGGAGCCGTGCCGAGCCAGACCGATATGGCTGCAGGTTATTTTCCACTGCAGAAGTCGAGCCGTGCGGCTGAATTCACATGCTGTGTTTGAATTGTACTCACTGATACTCTTAGGTTTTTTTTGATGTCACATTCAATTAATGCGGTATCAGTCCCCACCTCTGGGCCCTGGTTGAGCCCCAAATTAGATGCAGATGTTTTGTGAAGCCAGTCTATCACGGGTTTTCTTCTGGCACGGCTTGGCAAATAGCCAGTTGAAAACCCCCCACCCTTACTGTTGGGGCTCGGATGTTGCTGGTGGACAGGGTAATGCATGGCTGAGGGAGCCTGAGAGGTGCAATCGTGTGTGGATTTTTTCTACGGCCTCCGTAAATGGTCTGGTGCTGCTGCTGCTGCTGCATGGGATTTGCTTCCAAAGGTGATGAGGCTCCTCGTGCTTTTTTAAAATAACTTAATACCGTGCATTACCAGGTGGTAAAATCATGCAATGCCGACTGGTAATGTAATGTACATGGTAATGGATGAGATTGAAGATATTGTTTGGCCCACAAAGAGGTGAAGTGGGTTTCCTTGGCATCTTATAATGTTCATGTCAGAGCAATGCACCAGCACTGGCAACATCGCTGAATATAAAACTTGAGTATTTGTTAATGATTATGGCAGTTTTACAAGTGTAGTGGTCGTAGCATCGTTAACAACTGTTTCACCAAAAAGTTATACAATTTTACGTTATTTAATTGGCCACCTGAAATATACTATGGGGACCTCATTTGCCAGTAAAAATATGATAATTGGTTCTTTGCCCTTCTATCTGGCAACAAAACTGACACCTTTTGCAAGGAGTCATGTTTGCATAGACCGCAATACCTGCAGTCATAAATACAAACAAAAAACATAACTCTGATAATGTGCACTGTCCTTGAAGTTGATTGGTCCACACCCGAGACAGCTTTCCTTCGAGCCTAGTCTCATATGGGTTGGACCAGATGACGCCAAAAGGCGCGCCTTTTGGCGTCATCTGGTCCAACCCATATGAGACTAGGCTCGAAGGAAAGCTGTCTCGGGTGTGGACCAATCAACTTCAAGGACAGTGCACATTATCAGAGTTATGTTTTTTGTTTGTATTTATGACTGCAGGTATTGCGGTCTATGCAAACATGACTCCTTGCAAAAAGGTGTCAGTTTTGTTGCCAGATAGAAGGGTAAAGAACCAATTATCACCTGAAATATGTAACATATGCAAAATATTATTACCACACTTGTTTACCCAGGAAAGCCTCACAGTATCAATGTTTACAGGAGGGTCCTGACAAGTTTCTTGTAGCATGGGTGGTGTCACTGTGTAATCCCAATTGAGTAATTTTGCAAGTATGTTTCAGAATTGGGATGTTTGGCCAGTACAAGCTACATTGTATGTTTTTTTAGCAATGGGAGGAAACGGAAGAACCCGGAGGACAACTATGTAGAACAGGGGGATGACGTGAAAACTCCACACTGCAAGGTGCCCAATTTGGGAATGGAGGCACAAGAGTTTCCAAGCGTTACCAATGCACCACCCTACCGGCAATACATACGAAAAAATATTGCATCACTGACGTGGCAAAGCACTGTAGACAGCATGAATTAGCAGTGTCAGGTGATGGCAAAGAGCCTCTTGATGTGACTCCGAGGAGTAGTTCTGTGCTGTTATCCACTCGGCTGTTTCTTGACATGATCTTCTGTTGGTTGAGGGGGTAAACATAAAGTGTATTAGACTCGAGACATGACCATGATAACAGTACAATTAAAAATATACCATCATTAATGATGCAGGCAGATCCCCCCCCAACAAAAAATATAGTTTGCAAGCACTGAAGGTTCCAATTAACTGGCATGTTGTGTAATTGGTCCTAAAATTGGCTTTTCAATGTCTCTTTCCCCAAAGAAATAACTTAGATTATTGGTGCATTTGTTTTGGCGAGATGTGCCATTCTCCAAATGCGTACATTTTTTGACGCCAGCCCAATGTTTATTTAACGTTTGATATTTTGAGATTAAGTAAGATGATTTGGGTGCAATATTGCAAATCGAATAAAGATATGTAAATTCAATATATTCTGACCATCACCTGTATTTTAAATTTCACATTTTCAATAGTCATTAACCATTTTACAATGTGCACCCAATGATGATATGAAACATCTAAAGCAATACTTCATGGCATGCACTGTTAACCATATAATCATTTAATTTATATTTTATTGCAATACAGTATCTTACAAAAAAACCACAGACGCTGTAGGCTGTTGTTTTCAGCTTTCCAGAAGATTTCAAGCTACCAATATCGATTGCTTTTCATGGAAGGAAAGAAAACTTGTTGCTAGCTGTCCAGTTGTTGAACCGGACATATTAGTACAATAAAAGTATTCAAAGGATTGCATTGGCAGCAGTCCTCATTGCTGGCATTGACAAAAACAACTTTCTTGAGAGAGCTCTCCTGTGAAGAAGGAAAAATTGCAAAAATATGTTTCGCTCGATAATTATTTGTTGCAATAAAATTGTGTTAATAATAAGAGGGGTGGGCTTGTAGCACAGTCGTAAGTGCACTGCGTTGGTAGTCAATTTGCCCAGGCCAGATATTTCACTAGTCAGTAATGTATTTGTGGCCAAAAAGATTGAACAATGTGATAACCATTTTAAACTAGTGGATGATCAAATAATGCACTTGTATTATCTATATGAACACATAGATACTACTAACTTTTGATGCCTTAGGTGGTACCGATTTATGCTTTGGCCTGTGGATTTGATGACTCGGGCGAGTTGAGTTAGAATCCTGGCTACAGCTGACACCAATGGCGAGTGATATCTGAACCAGACATGGGCCCTCCTGTCTCTAGCGGACATTGGTTCAGCACGGTGAATTCCAGTCAAACAACTCAAATGACTAAAAGGGAGGCCTTCATCCAGTAGTGGAATAATACAAGTCTGTACATAGTGACATGGGTGGTGATGTTTTTTGCAGTCAAGGCATGTCACTCTGTTGCCATATTTAAGAGGACTGACTGAGTTGAAATGTTGGAGACAAAACTGGTTCAATGGGATATAATTTTCGATACGGCAATAACTTGTTCTCCCACTTTCTTGTAAGTTACAAGACACATTGTAGTAAACGTATTGTTATTATTTCACGCTACCATTTATTTACAGTACATCAAAGGTCTCAAGGCACAGCTTTCAGAAAAACACAATTCAAGATTGTGCTTTATGAAACAGTCAAGTGCTGTGCAACCACTGAAAGTAATTAGTGATGATGGTACAAAACATTGTAACGTATAAAAGTATACATTGAAACTCTCATGCACATTAAAGTAGTGGATTTTGTAGGTGGGTTGATATTTCCATGACCACAAATCTTCATTTCTGTTTAGATTATGCATCTTTTCTGGCACATAACATCCAGGTGACACCCCTGGTTAAACGCGGATAATTATAATGAATATGTTGAGCTGATGACTCTTATCCATGAAAATCCACAGATAGGATTAATTCAGCTCTTACTGGAGACCCTTTTTGGGGGCATTGTCTGTGGATAATAGGATGTTTTGTGGAATTTCTCTTTCATCATCAGCCATGATCAGTTCACTGAGAGCTGAAGGCCTCCCCATGGCACTGCCACCTCTCGCGATCTTGCGATGCACAATCCCATGCAGCACTTGCATGTGAACTGAATTCATCGCTCCAGCTCGTCAGTGGACATCCTCTCAGATGTGTTCCATTACTGAAATTTCTATTCCTTTTAACCTGTGAAATTATGCGGATAATAGGATGAATTTAACATCCATGGGGACCACTTCCAAGTGTGTTGTAACCTGCATATAAATGTTGATAAAATTATGAATTTGCCACATGAATCCTTATCGGTGGAACACCTGTGGATGATGGGAAGGTTTGTGGATCAATTAGAAATCACGGATAAGAGGAAGAGTAGAAAAGGGTAATGATTTAGAGGCGTTTTACTCATTGTGAAATTTATTTAAGAAATTAGACTGGTTACTATACAGATAATGCCTAAGGGTTGGGTGATATACCTAATATAAGTATGTTTTTGGGTTATGATTTACAGACAGGGAAGGAATAAATGTAACTTCAAGAAGACCCATTGGTCTAAAACTATCACATTGCATTTAGTTCTCCACCTAGATCGTCATAACTCCAGAGTTAAAATGTATTTTGACTGGTATGCAACGAGTGTTACTTTCAGCAACGTAGCAATTGGGAGAGTGCTATCCCCTATGCCAAATAGTGTAACATCCTTTTTTTATAATACATTATCACTTTAAGGTATCTTAGGAGTTAGCTTCGTGATGTTCGCTTCCGTGAGCTGTTCTCTAAGACGAAGGTTTACACCGTTCTGTGGGAGCTAATGGATACTTCAGATGTAATAGCACTCGTGCCACAATCTGGAGAATATTGAGGAGGAGGGAAAGCAAGTAAACAATTCGACGAACAATAATAATACATCAATCCTGGTTTGTGTAACGAAAAGTAAATTTTCCGTGCAGCTCTATCACAACCACTTGAGTACCAGAACTTTCTAGCAGTGAAGGTGAATTGTTGCTGAATAAATACTGAACGTGAAGTGTCAAGACTTTACCTTTCTTTGCCCATTACCCAATCACCTGAAATGCACCCGAACTCAGAAGCTAAGGTCACGCCCAACCTCAGAAGCGAAGCGGGATGTGCCTGGATAGTGCTTTTATGGGTGACCACCATGCACAGCATATTGGTGACGGCTGTAGGGCTGCATGTTGGATAGTGCAGCAAAATCCATTGTTACATTGTGCTTCTGTGTGCCCACACCTATGCTCCTCATCTTCATCAACTCGTACTGAACAGCGCGGGGAAGTATGATTTTAACAACCCCCACGGCCCACATAGCAAGGGGAGGCCCTCGTACAACAGTG